TGACCTCGAGGGGTCATCCTGGTGGGTGGGGTGACACCAGATGAACACACAGATCCCCATTCCCTTTCTATCCCAATACTCTCAGTAGCAGGCACCCCTGGAGGAGCAGCTACATACAGGCTGGTGTGGAGATTAGAAGGGGCAGGGACAGACAGCCTACCTGGCTGTGTCCTGGGTACCCTGCCCCGTTAAACCACAGGAACTCTGTGTGTCCCACAGTCCGCTCACTCCCGGTGAGTGATTCTGCCCTGAATGTGTTTGAGCAGCGAGTCAGAGGAGCCAACTTGACAGAACACCAGGTCTTTTACTTCCCCAAGTACGGTGAGTGTCCCCAGCCCAGTCACCCTCCCAAGTACAGTGAGTGTCCCCAGCCCAGTCACCCCCCCAAGTACAGTGAGTGTCCCCAGCCCAGTCACCCTCCCAAGTACAGTGAGTGTCCCAGCCCAGTCACCCTCCCAAGTATGTGAGTGTCCCCAGCCCAGTCACCCTCCTGGCCGACACCCTGCCCTCCCTGACTACTGCCTGCACCCCTAGGGTTCTGCGAAACTGCGGACCAGTTCCACACCCTGAATGGTGAGTGGCATGCCAGCAGGGCAGAGCAGGGGGGCTGAGGTCATTGTCTTTTCTGCCCCACTAAGCCCTGTGTCTGCTGCAGAGGTGCGGAGATGAGGCCATGTGGTGGAGAAGCTGTGGACAGTGGACTGCTCTCAGAGAGTTCTGAGCACCCTGAATGCACTCCTGGAGTCTCCTGTCTGTCCTGCATACCTTCACACAGCTCTGTGGTCCTGGGGGCTTTTCAGTAAACGTCAGATGTGGCCCTGGGTCTTTTCTGTCAACTTGGACTGGAATTCTACCAGGCTGAGGTGGGAAGGGAAGGCAACTTGCCCCCTAGCTATTGGATGGTTCTGCCCTGGAGAGGTGGGGCTGGAAACTGCTCCTTCTCTCTAGAAGCAAGAGTCCCTGCTCCCTCCCAGAGCCTGCTTCCCTTCTACAGTGAAGGCTTACTCTGCTCTGTGGTGCTTTCCTTCCCTCACTCCCCCATCCCAGCCTACGGTGCTGGCTTAGTGCCCATGGTGTGTGTGTGGGGGGATGGACTCAAGGCCCTGCCTAGGGTACCTTCTCTGGAGAGGGACACAGGCTTCCCAAGTCCTCTGGGCCCCTCCTGACCCTTGACCCTGGAGGCTAAAGAGCTATAGGTCCAGGGATACTTGCCAAGAAGATACCAGGGTGGGTTTAAGGGAGCAGTTGGGGCACATAGAGTGGAAAGCTGTACCCCCAGGAACAAAGAACAGACAGCCTTCTTCATATGGGACCAGTTAGGGGTGAGCATGGGGCTCTTAACATGTGGGTCGAACCCCTGACACAGCTGTCCCCCTAGCAGCCCCTACTGTAGTCAAGGTTACCAGCCACAGGGAGCTAAGTTGTGCATATTCCCATAAGGAAGGAGTTGGGCCTTTCTAGACAGGAGCGTTGTTCTTTCCAGCCCTGGGATGGTTTGCTTAGCTCTGAAGGCCAGGGCTGGAGTTCGGGGAACTGGGCATCATCTCAGACACTGCTAGGCTTGCATCTGCTCTTGCCTCAGACCTTGCCTTGCTGGTGGTGGTATGATGACTTCCAGCGCTCATTGGGTAAACATTTCTGAGGTGCCCCAGGCCCTGGGGACACAAAGTAGGCAAGTCCTTGCTACTGGGAGCAAGGCTCAGCAATCTATTGACAGGAAGACAAAGGTGGGCCAGCCCCTGGGCTCCCCAGCCGGCCATGTCCTCCCATCTAGCAGCCCCAGGACACCCCAAGTGAGCCATCGTACTAGCAAGACTGTTAGATGATTCCTAGAGCAAAGTCAGGTGAAGTCTTGTCTGCTGGCCAATTTTGGAGGAATGGGAGCTATAGTTATAGAGGTGGCTCTTGGGCCACAGCTGCCCCAGAGGAAGCTCTGATCACCTAGGGTCTCTGGGCAGGGCAGGAAAATAGACTGGAGGGAGAGTGGACCACCAGGGGCCTTGCCTTTTTTTTTTTTAATTAATTAATTAATTTATTTATACAGTGTTCTGTCTGGGTATATGTCTGCAGGCCAGAATAGGGCACCAGATCTCATTACAGATGGTTGTGAGCCATCATGTGGTTGCTGGGAATCTAACTCAGAACCTCTGGAAGAGCAGCCAATGCTCTTAACCTCTGAGCCATCTCTCCAGCCCCACCAGGAGCCTTGGAAGGAGGAATTTCGGGAGACTGTCCTATCCACAAAAAACAGAGTTCACAGAAGCACGCTGGCCTTGTGGGGCCTGGCATTGGCCTCACCGCCCTGGCCCCAGGAACACCTTTTCCTTCTTGCCTTGCGTTCCCTAACAGAAAAGTGATGAAAGGCTTGAGCTCCCACGGCCAAGGCCCAGCCCTCTGATCTCTGCCTTGTTGCCCTGTGGGGCTGAATGGGCTGAGCCTGGACTGTGCAGCCATTAGCTTTTGTGCCAACCCGAGGAGACGGCTCTAGAATTGGCACATATTTATTTATTTATTTATTTATTTATTTATTTATTTATTTATTTAT